GAGACTCTGTCTCAAAAAAAAAAAAGAGATGATTTAATGCAAGATAATTTTTCTAATGATAATAGTTGTCATGTATAGACGGCCCTCTGTATCTGCAGGTTCTGCATCAGTAGATTCAACCAAATGCAGATTTAAAAGATTTGAAGAAAGTACAATAAAAAATAATACAAATAAAAACAATATAGTATAATAACTATTTATACAGCATTTATATGTATAATGGCTTTTTTCTTTCATGCCATATTCAGAGCCACACATGATGTTTTAAAGAAGCCATGATCACAAGAATAGATGCTTAACATGATTAGCCAACAGAGAAACTCAAACCCAAACTGCAGTGAGATGCTACTTCACACCCAGGAGGGTGGCTGTAATATAAAAGGCAGACAACAACAAGCGTTAGCAAGGATGTAGAGAAACTGGAACCCCCGTACATTGCTGGTGGGAATGATGTAAAGGAGTGCGGTTACTTTGGAAAACAGTCTGGAGTTTCCTCATCTGGTTAAATGCGGAGTTACTATATAACCCAGCAATTCCACTCCTAGGCACAACCACAAGAAAAATGAAAACATAGTTCCACCCAAAAATTTGTACACAGATATTCATAGCAGCATTATTCTTAATAGCCGAAACATAGAGACACCCAAATGCCCATCAACTGGATGAATGGGTAAACAAAATGTGTGATATCCGTACAATCAAGTAGTGTCTGGTAATAAAAAGGAAGGAAGTACTAATACCTGCTACAACATGGATGAATCTTGGAAACATTTCGCTAAGTGAAGGAAGGCATTCCCAAAGGAACGCTACTGTAGGATTCCATAGATACGAAATATCCAGAATAGATAAAGCTACACAGACAAAAAGCAGCTTAGTGGTTGTCAGAAGCTGAGGAGGTAATGGCTAAAGGGTACAGGGTTTCTTTCTGAAGTAATAAAAATGTTCGAAAATTAATTGTGGAGTTGGATGTGAACTCCGTGAATATACCAAAAACCACTGAACCGTACACTTTAAATAGATGAATTGTACGGCATGTGAATCATATCACAATAAAGCTGTAAATAAAGATAGGGCGTGATTTCATTCTTTGTTATGGCTGAGTAGTATTCCATTGTGTATTATCTTAAGTGAAACAAGCCAGACACAGAAAGACAAATATCACGTGTTCTTGCTCCTAAGTGAGTGCTCAAAAATGTGTTCACATGGATGTAGAGTGTGGGATGATAGACAATGGAGACTTCGAAGGGTGAGGGGGTCTAAGGGGGTGGATGATGAGAAATTACTTAATGGGTACAATGTACATTATTTGGCTGACGGACACCCTAACAGCCCTGTCTAGAACACTATGCAATCTATGCATATAACAAAATTGCACTTATACTCCATAAATGTACATAAATAATTTTTTTAAAAAGCTTTCCCACATTTATTACATTTACAGGGTCTGTCTCCAGTGTGATTTCGCTGATGTTCTGTAAGACTTGTCCTTTGAGTGAAGACTTTTTCACATAAAAACAACAACCAATAAAGACACCATGGAGTTCGGTCTCTTAGAAGGACGTATCTGAAAAATGGTAGAATGATTAATCACTTTATTTTCTTTAGTATTTCATTTGCCAAGATCTTTGTAATTATTTTTGGTTTTTCTCACTAAGAAATGAACTAAGAAATGCCATGTATTTTTTAATCTCTTTGAGGACCTAAGAAATATGTAAATCAGTCCTTAACTCACAGAATAATTTCCCGTAATCCACCCTTGAAAGAAAGTCTCTTCAGAGAGTAAGAGAGAGAGGGAGAGACTGAAGAAAATGTGGCAGGTAACTAGGCACTTGCCAAAAACCAAGTTGAAGAAACACAGGTGGTTGGGCTTTGCCTGCAAACTCTCGTTTCGTTTTTGCTCTGAGGCTGGCTTTCCAGCTTTCATTTCACTGACAGGGACTCTTGAGAGCCAGCACTGCTGGAGGAGGCGATGAGAAGGGAGGTTTACAGGAAGAAAGGGGGCAGAAATGCGGCAGACTTTGTAGGTGGGAGAACAGCAGAGACGTCTAAAAGCAAAATTCAAGAAGTTTCACTCGTAAACACCTTCCTTCATCTCCCCGCAATACTATACTCAAGTACTCATCAAAGCTTTCAGAGGGTGTGTGTGTGTGTGTGTGTGTGTGTGTGTGTGTGTGTGTGTGGCACCCATCCTGCATGGAGCGGTGACACTTCCATGAAGGTGAGCAGGCGTGAGAATAGCAGGAGGTGTCAGTTAAACGTAAATGAAGGAAATGAAGGAAAAAAAGAATAGTCTCAGGGAAGTAAGGAGGTCTGGTTAGAGGCAGAACACAAATGCATATGACGCTCTTAAGTTGTAAAATGTAGAGAAAACCCGTGGGCTATAGGGACATGGAAGTGTATTCACCTGATGTGCAACCTTAATCGTCTCCTCTCTTGCGCTGCCTTCACTGGAAACCACAAACATCAGCTCAGCGTCGCTGCAACAATACCCTTTAATCGTGGGCAAATTCAAACTTAGTGATTCCCAACTCTTATTTTATGATGACAAGTGGATGCACAGTTATGTCAGAAAAAATGCTCCCAATTTCTTAAAACCCACTCAAAGCAAATTTAATCAGAATTAAGTCAAAATCATTTAACTGCATGGAAATAGACACTAAATATTACAATTTCCCCTTAGGTGAAGACGTTACAGGCAAAGAAAACAAAAGCAAGAGATTTAATTTATTTGCCTCTGAAGTCTGAAATGAATTTTTTCTGCAACATAAAGTAAAAGTTCCTAGCTCAAAGATGGAGATGAAAGGAAACACAGGCTGGATGCACGAGAGAGGATCCCAGTGAGCTCTAGGAGGTATTATAACTGTTATTGTTACATCCGAATGACTAAAAGTTTTAAATAAAACAAAGAGGGGTAGAAAGAAAAGGAAAGGAGGACAGGGGAAGGAAGAAGCAGTAAAATTGGCAGGGGAAGAAATGGAGGAATGTAGAGAAGGAGAGAGGAAGGAAGGAAGGAAAGAAGGAAGGCCAGCCACCATCAGGATCCCCGTTTCTGGGGATAATTCTGTGTTTTTCAGGGAAAATTCTCTCTCTTTACTATTTCTGATGCATGTCAGAGGCAAGCCTCCTATTTAGATACATGAAAATCGGCCTCCATCTGACAATGAGTCTTAATTCTTTCATCAGCCCATCCTATCCTATTTCAACACTTGCCATCACACAGAACAACGAGCCCTCAAGTAGACAGAAGTTATCTAAACAAGCCTAATTGAGGCTTTTTTAAAAAGTCAGGAAGTCAACAGCCTACGGATGAAAAGGGCTAGGGCTGGGTTTCACATACCAGGAACATTCTTTTCCACAGAAAAGGGCTACAGATCTACCTGTGCCGGGCTGAGGAGCTGGTGCGGAGGGCGGGGATTTGGGGGAGACACAACGAGTCTGTAGACATAGGAAAATGGATAGAAAGGAGACACAGAGGAATAAATGGGGAGGGGGAAAAGAGGGAAGGAAGCAAGGAATAAAGAAGATGGTGAAGCGAGAAAGATATGTCTATGTCAGGAATGGTAAAGTGCTGTGAACAGTTTGATCTGAGAAACTACAGAGATTAAGAGTAATTTCGGACCAAGCTCATTCATTATTAACCACAACAATTTCTTAGGGATTTGTCTTCCCTTCCTTCTCTGAAGTATAAAGGGAACTTTCTATCTCCTGGCAAAATCTTGACCATAAGGGATTCAGAGACCTTAGGGCAATTTAAGAAAAAGATTCTATTCACAGGAGTGGGACAAACACCAGCAGGACATCGTAGGTAAGAACAACCCGAAGTTGATCACGTGAGTTTTTTTCCTACAAAGAATATTTTTCACACAGTTAATACTAAATGATTTTAAATGTGAAAAATTTTAAATGTTAAATATGAAGGAAATTTATATAGGTAAAAAAGGCAAGAGAAAACTCTTTAAATGGTAAAAGTACGTTCCAATATAACATATTATTAAGTTGGATTTTATAATGGTTTCAGAAACTTTTATTACTCATTCCTTATTGAAATAGATGAAGAACCATGTTTTTATTTTGCTGATTATACTTATTTTTACTTTAATATATATTGGGACAGACAAATAAATAGCGTGAGGCTAAGTATTAGTGTAACTACTATCCAATAAGCACGAAGAACAATAAACAGAAAGTTCTACTTATTGTCAGACATAATAAAATTTTTACAATTGCATTATCACTCATCTTTGAAAAGAAAGAGACTAAATCCAGTTAAGAATTTGGAGTGTTTCTTTGAAATTAAAAACTTGTTTTATATTTCTTTCTACCAAAGAGTCTAAAAATAATGTATAAATGCAGGTCAAGAGAAGGAACAAGTATAATTATAATTACAAATATTAAAAGCAATAAATCTTCTATATGAAATAAGTGTGGAATCCATTTAGAAAGAGAAAATATAAATATCAAGTAAGGTTGATATTTCTGCCACTGGTATAATCACGATTTATTTAAATATCCTTATTTCAGGTACAACATTCACTTACAAAGCATTTTAATGTCATGCCGCAGCTCTTGAGTTCATAATTCTCCCAGACAGACAAGAAATAGTTCATTTTCTATAGTGTGCCTTATTAAAAAATTGAAAATCGAGACACCAGGAATGGAAGTATTTTGTACAAGGATAAAAGCCTGCCAGGAAGAAATGCAGTTGGCTTCAACTTTTCTCTATTAGCAGAATTTCCCTCAAGGGTGTCACAGTTAGAGTCCTGTTAAAACCAACCACACTGAAAATGCCTTTCAGCATTTTATGCTTTTGCAACCATGTACCAAGATACGTGAGCATCAGCTCAACGTTGGGAGCCAGTTTGGCCAAGCTGCAAACAGTGAGATTTTCTTTCAAAATATTTGCATCTCCTGTACTAAGTGAAAGCTTCTAATATTACCTTGACAACCCCTTAAAGGATTAGGTTTAATAGAATCCAAGACATGCCAGCAGAGATCAGTTTCAGTTAATCCCTAATTTGTTGCAGTGAGAAAAAAGGAGGCACCTTGTCTCCTCCAAGGCAGCGTGTAATATGGTTTCATTCACTATTATGGCACCGGCTTTCACATCATCACAAGCACACAATCTCGAAGGAACACTCTCCACAAACACACCCAGGGAAGCAGACGGAGTGATAGGCGATGACAGTAAATTTGCCCTTTTGCTCCCAATCTTCAACTAGTCAGAAATGCATGGTACGTTTGCTATACTTCAGAGGAAACCAGCCAGCTTCCAAATAAAGTTGACTTTCGCCTTATCTCCTGGACAGAGTTAGAGCTCAGGTCTGCATCAGGGTACACAGTCAGTCAAAAGTTAAGATTATTTTCTGACATGTGAGTGCATTTCCCCAACCCCTGGGGCATGCTCCCCTTTTTCCAGATTTTCTCTATTTAAAATGCAGGTAAGACAGGTGGCTTCATTCTCCACCTCTCTGATTATCTCAGAGAAATTAATTAAGTTGGCTTGGGGAAAGCCTCATGAGACTGCCATTCTCATGAGCGTGTTTAATCAGACCCCATTGCCTCTCACTGAGGAGCGGCAGCCTCTTCAATATTCAAGGGGTCCCACCTCCCTCGCTAAGCCCGCCAGCCCAGACAAGGCGGCAGATAGACTCACCTGCCATTCTTGGTCACGATCATTTCATTAGTGACTTCCTTGAATCTCTGCCAGAGAGGTGCATCCTCCAGGAGGATCTGAAGTTGTTTCTCGGTAGGGTCGCCTTTCTCCCTCCCTGCCTGAAGCTCACTTTCCACCACGTCGAGCAGGCGAGAAACAGTGCCATCGCCAGTCTGCTGAGAGCCCAGCTCACTCATGGCCATGGGCTCCCCTCGAACTTTGCTGAGAGCCCTTACCTACCCTGCCTGCTCCTAGCTCCCTCCTTCCCGCGCTTGCCTGCTTTTCGAACCAGCTGGACTCTGCCTCGCTAGCTGGGAGAAGATGCCCTGGCCCTTGCCTGAGCCCCCGGGATGACACCCCTTAAAGTGTCCACATTATACCACCAACCTGTTAAGCTTCAGTTGGGGAGCGGGGTGAAGGGAGGGGAGAGGTAGGGAAGAAAAGGCCCTCTCTTAATTACTCATTGGATCAGGTGGGGGAGAGCCTGGCTTTCCCATTGGCTGCCGTGCATAGAGTAGATGTTTAAGAAGAGTACTCCATCCAAATTATCAGGCTTTTATCTTGTTGTACCTGAAGAGGTCTAATCGGTGTATTGAGGACCATTTTCCCATTAATTAAAATTATTCCAGGCCCAGACTGCAACAATCAGGCAAATATGTTTGTGTACAAATCAAGGCACATGGCACCTACGGAGAAAGGGTCCTGGGGGGAATGGACGAACTTGATGCCAACCCCTGCTCCCTGACACCGTGGAGAGCCTGAAGCCCTCGGCTGCTCCCTGGCACCTCGGACACACGGGAGGCCCTGGAGAGAAGAGCCGGGTACATAGAAGACCAAAGGCGCTGTGCCAAGAAACATGACTATGGCGCCGCAGAAGAGGAAGATGCTCTGTGTGGAGGAAAGGAAAGAGCTAAGGACCCCTTTCTCCCAGGGTACCCCCTCCTGTCTTCTGTCTCCCGCGGGATCCAACACACGCCCACACCCCACTCAGCTCAAGGGCCCTGCTCGCCTCCGACAATGGGAAGAGCTTTGGACCTTGTCCTTCCTCCCAAGAATCCAGAGCCTCAGTTTTTCTTACTTCCAGCCTTAGCCAGAAGGAGGAAAAAAAAAAAAAAACAGTTAGTTTCAGTTAATCTCTCTAAGGAAGTACTCAGTCCCCCGTCAGTGAAAATAAACTTTTTACATTATTAGGCAGCGCAGTTTTGATTCTCAGTCCAAAAAGGCATTCTGGTTTTCTCTTTAGACAGCCCACCCATGGCCTATTCTGGCATGCCAGGGTGAACCCCCAAATTCTTGGGAAGAAACAACTAATAGGCAACTTTTCTTTCAACCTTGACACACAGTACTAGTACTGTCCCCCAGGAGCTGAGGCGGCTTTGCCTCCGTCCACACCCCCCGACCCTGAGAGAGCCTGGGGGGTTTGAGTTTTTCTCTCATTTCTGTATAGAAAGTAAGAAAATCAGAACAAGGGAAAAATAAGAGCAAAAAAGTAGGATAAAGTCAGTGTGAGGATAATAAAAAAATGCATTCAGTGCCTACTAAGTGCCACGTACTTACGAGGCATCACAGAGTGATGAACAAAACAGAAATGGCCTGTGCCTTTACAGCATTAGCAATCTGATACAGAAAATAATTGATATAAAGTAAACAGCTACGTAATTATCAAGGGGGGACAAGTCTGTTTCATGCGAGGCAGGGTGGGGAGAACCCCAGTTAGAAGGGGTTGTATAGAAAGGCTTCTCCAAGGAGGAGACATATTTCATCTGAGACCAAAAGCACGAGCAGGATGTAGTCAGGGAGGGGCTGGGAGAAGGTTCCAGGCCCAGAAACCACATGTGAGCAGCATGGCTTGGGCCAGTGACAGCTCTCCGGGGAGGCCAGCACGACTAGAATGTGGCGGTGGAGAGAACGCAGGGAGATGTTCTCGGAGAGAGGGCAGGGCCAGGCCACCTGGCCTCATAAGGTATGATGAGGAATTTAGATTCTCTTTAACATGAGACGGGACACTCTTGGAGAGTATTAGCAGGAAAACAGCATGATTTGATCTGTAATTGTGAAAAATCTGGCTGATTTGTAGAGAATAAATTAGAAAAAGGCAAGAGTTGAAGGGACAAATTAAGAGGTTATTGTAGTGGTTCAGGCGAGAGATGGTGGTGGCTTAGCTTAGGGTGGTGC